ATTAAAACGAAAATGAAAAACAGGATACAAATATGTACTGGTGAGATATGTCGCTGACACTTCAGCTTCGGTGTTATCGTTGTTTTAGTATCATATGGTTAGCATGTTGCCAGCACGTCAGATGTATAATTAAATACACAAAGCGAACTTGGTTTGCGTAAGCAGAAGCCTGTTTGGTAAGCCAAGTCGATCTCGCCAGAAGTTCAACAGCACTGACAGGCAACTTTCCGTCGGGAGGAACTTGGAAAATTTGATCAACGAACGCGGCTCGCTGAGCTATCTCCCTCTCCCGCTGAGTCTGTGAAGAGGAAAGTTGAACTTGACATCACATTACGTTCCAAATATGGAGCCGGGATGCCCAGGATCGAGCATACCCAGCTGACCCGGTGACACCAAACACCATTAATGAAGAACACAGTCACTTGTTAGTATAGCCTATAGTAATTGCGAAGAAAACTGCAAGAAGCGGTACAATGTAGTCAGTAAGATACGTACTGACATCACAAAATAACACACTGCAATACAATATTGCTCCTGTCAGATACAGTGATGGTTTGTACGATAATGAACAGTATATAAAAGGGAGCAACCTATAGATTTACTCTACATGTAGTTATAAAACGCTTTCAAGAAAAAGTGTAGGAAAAGTGTGGCAATAGATTTGCAGGAGCCAGAAAGGCAGCCAGAAAGGAGCCAGAGGGAAACAGCAGCAACGAATAGGGACAAAAGGGAAAGAAGAAACAAAGAAGAAAATAATTGATACCTGAATCTCTTTCTCTCTTTTAGCAGCTTTGCGTTTCCTACGTGTAGACTCGAAGCTGACGACGGCGTATTCTAAAAGGGCACCGAAGACAAAGAAGAAGCACATCAGAAGATAGACGTCGACGGCCTTGATGTACGAAATCTTCGGCAGCGAAGCGCGTGCGGACGTCACAAAGGTGGTCTGTGCAAGAACCGTGGTGATACCTGAAATAGTTTCAACGTTGTCAGCAAAGTAAAAATCAAACTGGCATTGCCATTAGTTATTAGATTGCTCCAATTACTTTAACGGGAATATAAAAACAAACAAAATAACTAACATACATAACGTTAAGTAAAATACTTTTATTTTAAGTGACTGTGAGAATATAAGTTGTGCCTAACTGGAGTTCGCAGTCACTTTGTGGCTTTCATTTGAATGAATAAATGAATGAATGAATGAATGGGCTACAATAAGAATCTCTCTCACAGCCTTTTGGCTGAATTGCAAACAAAATTACAAATATTCAAAAGTAATATTCGACACGTCAGCACTGTTATAACGGAGACATTCATAATATAAATCATTTTCCTCAATATTTGAAAACAATTCTATCACGGCTTGATATTTCATGTATCCGATACAAATGATTAAAAAAGATAAAACCTTGATATATATGTATTCATTACTGTGTTTCCGAATTAAAAAAAAATACTGACCGAGTGAGACCCTGGCCGGTGGCGAGTCTTTGTTGATCCAGAAGCTGACCCATGAGATCATGACCAGGAGGGTGGAGGGGACGTACATTTGGAGGAAGATGTAGGCCACTTCCCTGGTCAGACGGAAACTGAAGGCCACGTGTGGGTAACCGCCTGGGCAGACACACAGATTCACGATTGCCATTTAGACTGATGCCAGTGTCCGTACAACTGTACTCAGACGTACAGCCAGAACTAGCCTAGCTATGCCAACCCATGCACTTGCACAACAGGTATCTAGAACCAGATCCACCGACCGGACCTTCATCCACACAGGAGTTCAGATCTGGAACAAACTCCCAGACACTGTTGTGGGTACAATCAACAACAACGGCCTGCAGTCCTTCCAAGTCAGAGTCCACCGACATGAGAACACTTGGCAGCTGTGAGCCACTGATTGCCCACTTAACTGTTTCCTATGTACATTGAAGTGGGTATTGCCCACCACACCATATAACATATACAAAAAAACAGGCTGGTTTCCTTCATTGGATACTGACTAACTGATTTGATGTTATTCCTTAGAAAAATGGTAAAATGTTTTTTTTTAGATATTGTGTAGTCGAAGACACTTTCACTGTACCTGTCTCGTAGGTTGCAATCATTTCTTTTGTCCGGTGGTTCTTCACGGTGAACTGTGCAACCTGGAGGTTCTGCAAGCCCCGAACAGAGTCGTCTCCTTTCAGCCACTTGAAGATCATGTCGTCAGTAGTGTAGCCATCTAACGATTATGCAAAAAAAATTCCCAAATCAAATACAGATTGAGGATGAACAACTATAGATGAAGTAGCTGTCAGAAATCCTAGTATAAGAAACATGAGTGAATAATTTCGAATAGCAGGGTACTTACAGCTCTCAATGTGTAGGCTACAATTCTGTTTGTCCAGAGGATACTTTCTCAGGTCCATGTTACATTCGGCAATAACTGTCACCCTGCAGTATGAAGTAGGATGTGTTATCACATTGTACATAGCAAAATTGTACATTCAACATAGAAATGTTGGTCATCAGGACAATTTTGACTTACTATCCTGAAAGTTCATCTGTGTTGGTAGTTACAGGTAGATGCCACGTGACAAGCCTCACTGGGTCAGTCTACTCAGGAAGACCAGAGTGACTGGTCGAAAGCTCTAGGTGAGAGAACATTTTGTGTTGGACCAAAACTTTAAACAATTTTTTGACTTACCTTTGACCATACACAATTGATCCGTCTGGCCACAGACGAAGTAACCTGTTTGCCATGGTGACGTTGTGAAGAAATGAGAATTTGGAGTTTGGGAAGAAGGTATCAGGAACCCAGAGGTACTCCACCAGACGGCCGTCCAGACTGATGCTCTCGTTGGTCCCCGTAAATGCCAGACGCTCGTCCTTCCAGTATTGCCGCAGGAGGATACAGATGGTAAAATCCTATAGTAAAAAGAAAACAATACATAATGATGTTTATATTGATCATCAAATGTCTCTAGAGCTAGCTAGTGGATCACACGTATTTTATGATATCCAATTGTACAATAAAATTTCGTATGACACATAACGAAATTAGGATGTACGTACATAAAAGACATTTGGGTGAGAATTTCTTCAATTAAGCCTATTATAATTAATGCCATTACCACGAGATAAAATGAATCTGAAAGTGTTCACATTGTACAGTATCAGGATACTGGAGTGGTCCAGACCGTTTCTGTGATGAAACGTATTAGAGAACTAACGAGAAATCCAACCAGCATAATGGGAAAATAAACGGCTTTTCCATTAAGCCATTAAGTTGTTTGGGTTGCTAATGGCATCAATGTAGCATTAATCAGATATGTTGCCAAATGCAGAGACGAAAACCACAATTTTTTATTTGCCACGATTATATGAACCACATCAAATAAAATGTAGAAACGTGTATATTAATCATGGAAAAATAGAATTCTTAAACTTACGAGGTCAACTTCTGAGATGTGGTCAATGCTCACCACGTCCATACTCATCCTTACCAGAAGTGGTGGTCCTAAACAGAATAATACGGTAAACAATAAAATATACCATTGTGACATGGTTATTCCTCACAATGAATCTGTATCTCATTTACTTTGTTTAATCGTATTATTGTTTTAATGTATATATGGTGAAACTTACCCCCCCCCCTACATGAGGCAGTTTTTATCAGCAGGAGGGTCGACATGCAAAAAAAAATGTCGTTTTACTGCCTGTGTTGAGCCAAATCCTTGAGCTGCCACATACGTGAGATATCAGGTGTTTAGGGCTAGGTCTAGGGTTAGGGTTGGTATTAGAGTTAGGGTTAGGGTTAGTGTAGGGATCCTTGTTCAGGGCTAAGGTTAGACTTACGATTGCCCCCTAGTAGTGTCCGAGTCATGTATTTGGCAGGGTCATGTATATGGAGTCAGGATTACATAGTCAAAGAACTGATGCAAACCTCCGAATCCAGGTCGAAGGTTTCGATTGTAGTTGACGAGTTTTTTCTTCATATCAGGGACCCAGGCGGGAGTGTAGCTGGTCGCTAAGTAGTTGTCCTGGATCGGCTGGGGGTCCCAGTCCACCGTCGTTAAGTTTGTACTTACTGGTGTAACCTGAAAACTGCAGTCAAAACAACCAGTTTGACTTACATCTTTGATATTAGACATCACAGAAGTGCCAAATGAAAGTTTCAAGTGCTGAGTCTTACCTTTCATAGGGAAACAGAAAACAAAACAGGAGGAATAAGACCGAAGAGTCGGTTGAAGCCATGATGTGCCCGTGTGGTTTAACCGCTGACAAACAGGGCAGACGATGTATCATATGTCCCCCGTGTCACGTATACATGTCGTATGGAGATGAGCTGTGGTATCTGGCTTCATCTGGCCGGCACCAAACACGTAACCTTCGCCGAGAAGGTTATGTCACTGCAGTGGCACGTATGTTTGCATATTAGACGAGTTGGGCGTGATATCTGGGTAGCCAATGTCAATATTACATGTCTAGAGTTTGTCTAGTAGTAAATTGAACAGATTGTGCAGAATGTAGCATACATATATGGGAGAAAAAGGAAGCAGCGTGGTGTACTTTGGCGATATGTTTGGATAGGTCAACCTCCCATTGGCGTAACACAGCAGCCTCGCAGGCGGTGGTTGACTGTATCACACCGAATGAAATGTCACGCCTAACCCGTTCATATCTATCCCTAGAAGTTACTGTAATACTGTCTATCTAATTATAAAATCTATCTGATGTAGATACCCATTCCATACTTGACCAATAGACGATTCATTCTACGTTAGAGACAAGATCGCTAATTTTTTATACGAATGAAGAATCTAAGATGAATATCAAATCGTTCAAAAATTTGTCTTCTAGATATTCAGACGTTACCCCAAAGTTGACGTGTGTTCCTAAGTTCATTTTAGCTGGAGAAAACCGTCCTCAATACAAAATGATCGGAGGATCATCACAATGTACCTCGTCAGATGGCCTGTCTTGTTATTCTACGTATCAAGTGTTATTCGGATTGGATAATATTACATGCTGCTGTTTTTATAGAGAGGGCAGAGGTCAAATACTCAAAGAGATATGCGGCGCTGTCCTGCAAAAATACCTTATGGCCATGGGTCCTGTGACCTTCTAACCTAAGCACTATCTGTGTATGTCTGATGTGTTTTGTTGTGTTTGTTAAAAAGATTATCCACGTCTCGATTACTAAGGGGACATAAAATGCCAAGCTGACGTGATTGTCAACAAGCCTATCCAACGGGTCGGTATAGTATTTCATATAAACAACCAATATAGTACTTTGTGCCAGTTATTTGTTCTTATTTCAAACAAGTGTGACAATTGCCATTATGTGTAAATTTAATTATGGCGCTATATAGATTATTGAATAGAGTACGGCGTAATAGAGTCACTTGAGGTATTCTGGCAAAGACTTTCGATTAAAATCCCCTTGTGAACATTAGTATTTGCAGTAAATACCCCTTAGGCCACACCAATTTAAAATTCTTGGTTAACGGATTTTTCTAGAAAAATAATGGAGCGGGCGGGCGAAAAAAAATAAAAATTAAAAACAGGTCTATTATGGCCGAAACATCCTATTATGGCCGAAAATGGTACGATAGGAGCCATGAAGCCAACACACCAGGCTGGTTTAAAATTAAAACAATGAATTTTGAACTTTTAATGAAAGATGGAATAACTGTAACAACTAGGAAGAAAAGGACTGTTTTCAACTATTCAGGGCAAACTATGAGCATTTTGCAGTTGATTCTGAATTTTTTTTTTTTGCAAATCAGAAAATAATGAAGCGGGCGAATCCGTTAACCAAAAAATTAGATTGGTGTGGCCTTAGCAATATTGGCAAGTATAGAGTTTCAAGGACAAGGCGATTTTTAAATTGCGATTTTATTTGAAAATATGACGCGATAATTTATACAATATCTTGTATGTTGACCCGTAACACAGCAATATTTGATATCAATATGGACAACTGACTTAAAACTATAGCTACATTTCCTTGTTTTGCAAAACGCAGATCTATCTTTGATACAGATATCAGATTTAGAAGTCTTGCATAACTTTGAAACTTTATTAGAATAACCATTAGCGGTGGACGCTAGGGTCCACCGCTAGTCTTCCTGGTATTCATACATGTACATACAGACGATACATTATACAAACATAATGGACAACTGGTCAAGTCACAAACATATCTAAAACAATGACATATTTACAATACTAGTATACATAATTTTAAAAAACTGACAATCCTGTCGAACAGTGCTCGTGACCTACTGATGGAGGTATTTGTGCAAACCCTCCTTAAAGACTCTCAGGGATTGTGTGGATTGCATAACAATTGGAAGGTTATTCCACACACTAACAGCCCTGTACATGAAACACTTCTTCTGTGCGTTGGTTCTAGGTTTGTCTAACAGAAAAGACTGTTTAGCAGCAAAACGGGTTCTATAGCTATGCAAGTTGTTGACAAAACGCAGTTGCCTACTGATACAAATAGGTTCGTTAGTGAGTGTTATCCTTTTAAATGTTGTCATGGTGTTTATTATTAACTACTTTCATGATCATCATATCATCTTTTGTTTTACTACTGACTTTCAGTGAGTGCTAGCCACTAAAAGTTAAATAGTTCTTAGACACACTGGTACACCCTATTCACTAGAAATTGATATGCTATCTACCTCTTCTAGTAATACTGCTTACTATGGTGATCAGCTTTTTCAAATGCCATTGGCCATCGTAGGTCACACTGAGCATCATATATATAGCACTGCATGGTGTGTCACAATGGTTGTATTCCATTGCAACAGGACGTGTAACTAATTTGTAAAATTTGTAAGATTGTCCAATGCCAAGTTCAATCTTGTTTTTATCACTCTCTATTATAACAGCAGCAATCCATAGCTTTCAAGGTCCAAACCAGGCACGCGGCGCGGCGGCAGCTAGCCATATCACACCGAACGACTTGTTACACACAATCTTTGCACATTTTATTGCAGGAGTTATTTAAAGCTTTCTACTGATGATGCCCCAACTGTGCTTGGTGGCAACGAGTTCCACTCTACGATAGTAGATTGCATGCCGTTTCAAACGCCGCTCACACTTTTTCTAGATAGATAAAGGTTATGTACCTTAGATGCTAAAAATCACGTTCTATTTTCTCATCGTCCATGTCTACATATATGTACGTGAACCAGTAGACAAGGTTGACCACGGTGAATGCTAAGGGGAACAGATATCTCGACCTTCTGTCTATGATGCATTCGTCGTCTAAAATTTTGCCAACCCTCTGTCTGACTCGACTGGTTGTTGCTCTGACTCTGTGGCCTGCCTGGGTGGTCCTCGCCTTGACTTTGTCTCTCACTCTGTACCGGAACGTTGGTCTGCTGATGCCGCTGTCGTCTGATGGTGTGCTGGCCGCGTCGGACGGATTCTCATAGTCCATGTCCGCCTCAACCACGGTTGCCAAAGGCGCGATTCTTCCGTCACTTTCGACTTCTAGCATCTGTATATCATTCCTTGTTGTCATCGGCTGCACAGGAAAAAACACAACATGAGAAAGTACAGTGTAACAGAACATTGCACATTAGTGTAATAGATATCATTGATGAATTCGATGAAAAATGTTCAATTTTCTTCTGTTCTCCTAACTGGTTATTTCGGTCCATCCGGTTTTGTTTTCACAATATCACATTCCTTTCCTAGACAACGTTTTTAATGTGGAGTGTCGTTTTGCTTTCGGCAAATCAAGTGCTGAGAGCTTCTAGTTGGAAACATTGCTGGTGTCATCAATGACAATAATGATGATCATGAACACATAGGATGGAAAACAACAACGCAGCACAGGTACACACCGATGGTGGGATGTTGGTGGCAATGGGGGACGGTAAGGGACTCTTCTTGGTCTCCTTCTTCTGCCTGACGAGTGTGGTGTAGTTGACGATGGCGTACTCAATCAGGGCGCCGAAGGAGAAGAGGAAACAGATGATGAGGTAGACGTCTATGGCCTTGACGTAGGAGATTTTCGGCACTGAGGCTCGCTCGCTGGTGATGAAGGTCGTCATGGTCAGAACCGTGGTGATACCTGCGAAGATTGAATAGATTCTGGCTCGGTGATAAATATTTCCAGATCAGGATTCTAGTTCAACCAGGCCATACATACAGCTCGATGTCAATCACATTGAATTAAGCTGAGAAAATTTTTTAAAGAAGAATAACGCTCATTGATTCAGTGTACAGCACTGTCATGCCGTAAGAAAGTAATGAAAGTCAGTTGTAGAATGTCTTGGTAATTCGTCTGGCATGAAAATATAGAATCGGTATCAACAAAGGTCTAGTAAGTACGCATGTGTATTAGTTTTGTAGATGTAGTAGATGTATGTATTAGTTTTGTCTGAAAACAGGGAAGGTGTTATTATGACTGTTATTGTGTCATGCCTAGCCCCAGAAAAGAGTGATATGAAATTATGATTCATCTCATTCCCAATGATCTAGGATCCTTCATGGCACCCACAAAATCGTAAGAACATGCCATTCTTACCAAGCGACACCCGAGCAGGTTCGGAGTACGGACTGATCCAGAACCCGACCCAAGACACCATGACGATCAGAGCGGCGGGGAAGTAGGTTTGCAGCAGAAAGAAAGAGATCAGGCGGATCAGCACGAAGCTGAAGATTAGGCGGGGGTAGTCACCTGCGGAGGGAGACAGAGCGCGGCGAGATGTTATTGCGGTTTGCGGGCGGATGAGCGCTTACGTACCGAGAGCCACTCGGGCTGGCTCGGAGTAGGGGTTGACCCAGAAGCCGACCCAGGAGATCATGACGATGAGGGCCGCCGGGATGTAGGTCTGCATCA